ATTAAATAAACTACGTTTACTACACAGCATGTGTAAAATGATTTTGTTACTCAGAAAGTTACTACTCATACAAATAATATTACTAATAACAATAATGACAATAAAACAGCAGCAACAGATACATGACTTCTCTTCATGACAGAGACAGACCCTCTGCTGCTGCTCCTCGTCTCCTGATTGGTTGAAGCCCGCATCAAAGCTTCAAAAGCTCAGCTTTGCTCAGCTTTGGCGTCAAAGGTATTGTTTTGATACGCGAGCGTTTCGCGCGTCAAAAGCTTCAAGTGAGCGCGTATTACGCGCGACTTTTGAAGCTTTTGACGTGCGCCAAGTGACGCCGGGCCCCTCGGCTTCACCTGACGCGCTTCACCTGACGCGCTTCACCTGACGCGCTTCACCATTCACTTTCAATGCAAACCTGACGCTTTTGACGCCGAAGTTAAGTCCGGTGTGAACGCCCCTTTAGGCTGAGGTCGGTACCACAGCTCTGGAAGACGTCCTGTGTGGTACCACACTGCTCTCGTTAAGGTTACAAACAATATCTGGCTGAACACTGAGTGCTGCCTTTGACACTGTCGACCATGAGATCCTCTTACAGAGACTAGAGGATTGGGTTGGAGTTGCTGGCACCGCCCTAAGTTGGTTTAGGTCTTACCTTGAGGACAGGAAGTACTTTGTGGAGATTGGAAACTGTGTCTCAGATCATATGGCCCTGACCTGTGGAGTACCACAGGGGTCGATCCTGGGACCTCTTCTGTTCAATCTCTACATGCTGCCGTTAGGTCAGTTAATACGCAGAAACGAAGTTTCCTATCATAACTATGCAGACGACACTCAGATCTATGTCTCACTGACTGCAGGAGAACATGGACCAGTGGACTCACTCCTTCACTGTATCCAACAGCTCAGTGAGTGGATGCAAAACAACTTCCTTCAGCTAAACGCAGACAAAACTGAAATGATTGTCTTTGGTCCCCAGAAACAAAGAGAGCGTCATCTGTCACCTACAGTCTCTCTCCCTAAAACCTTCAAACAAGGTCAGAAATCTAGGGGTAATACAGGACTCAGACTTAAATTTTAATAGCCACATCAAATCAGTAACATCAGCAGCTTTTTACCATCTAAAAAACATTGCCAGGATTAAAAACATAGTGTCTAGAGCAGACCTGGAGATTCTTATCCATGCATTTGTCTCCAGTAGGTTAGACTACTGCTATGGCCTGCTCACAGGTCTGTCCAAGCAGGCTGTAAAACAGCTGCAGTACATTCAAAATGCAGCAGCTCGAGTCCTGACTAGAACCAGGAAGTACGACCACATTAGTCCAGTTCTCAGGTCTCTGCACTGGCTTCCTGTGGCTCAGAGAATAGACTTTAAAACAGCTCTGCTTGTTACAAGTCTCTCCATGGCCTCGCACCAAAATATATTAGTGACATGTTAGTCCCATATGAACCAGCCCGGACTCTGAGGAGCTCAGGGACTGGATTCCTGTTAGTGCCCAGAGTCAGAACTAAACATGGGGAGGCTGCTTTTCAGATTCATGCTGCTAAAATCTGGAAGTGATGTGAGACAGGCCGCCTCTCTGACAATGTTTAAAACCAGGTTAAAGACAGTTCTGTTTAGCTGTGCATACAACTGAGGGATTTTTTATTTTTATCTTTCTTTTTAACTCACTGACTGCCAGGCATTTTCAGATTTGAGAAGTGCATTCTGCCAGCAATTTCAGGTGATTTGACCCAACTTTGAAGTGCCACAGAATATTCATTTTTTAGACGATGTAAACACCAAGGGCACCAAATTAAAGATTCACAGTTTGTTTCTACCTCTTACCGTTCTTGCGTTATTCGCCATAGAACAAAGCAGAGGTGGGACAAAGTCATTGTTTAGCAAGTCACAAGTCAGTCTCAATTCATTGCCCTCAAGTCCCGAGTCAAGTCACGAGTCAAGACAGGCAAGTCCCGAGTCGAGTCCAAGTCAAAGGCCAACAAATCTCAAGTCAGTCCCAAGTCCTACGGTTTGACTTTCGAGTCCTCTCGAGTCTTTTTGACCGCGATTTGTTTCTTGTTGGTCTCCACGTACTTTTGTAGGCAAACAAAATAATGTTAGGAATCATTTTGCTGGTGCATTCTCGTTGGTCTCTGACCCATGGACTAACAGTTTGTTCCATGTCGTTGGCTGCTGGTAAATCAAAACTATCTACGTGATCTAATTGGATGTTGTGCCAGATGCAGGCTCAGTTACACATGCACAGACCACACATAAAATCAGAGCAGTCCATGTCAACATACTTTTTACCTTTGGGGTTTTTAATGGGAAGTAGCAAGTGCAGCAGTGCAGCATATATGAATATGAGTATTGGGCTAGGACCTGTATCTATATAATCAGTTTAATGTCCGTAGTGGTTATTGTTCCAAAGGACTGAAGGGACCAATGGAGGGGAAGGACCCCGGCCTGTATGAACTGGGCCAGCATTAGTAATATCTCATAATTACCAATATATCATTACATAATAAAATGTCTCATATAAATTAATTCAATCAGTCAAAGCACTGATTCTCATATCAATGCACCATAAACAATAGTGCAAATATTAATCTAGCTTAGTGCACATAATCAAAACAACTATCTAATGTATGCAAACTTTAGCAGGAGGAGCACAGCAAAAACATACTCATAATAATAGGCCTCGGCGCCCACACAGAAAAATATAAGAAATAGCTAACAGAGCAGCGCAGGCTAGCGCTAGTTTGACTCACCAGTTCCTGTTTAAAACACGGCACAGAGTGTGACAACTGCGTCGATTCAATTGTATGAGGCGCCTGTAGTGAAAGCATATCAATTACGGTTTGTAGAACAAAATATGACGTTAGGTTGCGATAAATACCTGCAGCTCGCTCATTTCCAGCTCCCCTAGACAACACACCCACCGGTGAATGCAGTCCGCTTGTTTAGGGAAGTGTTGCTGCGCAAACTGCCTGGAACTCACGTTCGAACTCTCTCGCGAGCGCTTTAACTACCGCGAGGCTTTGTTTCTTCAGAGACGGCATAGATAGAAAGAGAGATGCGGAGAAAGGTAAAAATGGCCCGGGTTACGCAAGTCTTTGCAAGTCAATTGGCGCAAGTCCAAGTGAAAGTCAGAGTCATTGATGTTAAAGTCCAAGTCGAGTTGCAAGTCTTTTTACATTTGGTCAAGTCGAGTCTAAAGTCATCAAAATCATGACTCGAGTCTGACTCGAGTCCAAGTCACATGACTCGAGTCCACACCTCTGGAACAAAGCATACTTTCACCCATAACACCTGGTCTGAGCAAGAAAACAGAGGAAACGAGCTGTATGTAAACAGGAACATATCAAGCAGAAAAGAGACTTTGATGCATTTTTGCTGCTTTAGTGACAACTCAAAACATCTCCACACTTGTTCCATTACAAAAATTATAAAAACATGACTCTGAAATAATACTTTTGATGGCAAATTGTTGGCAATTTATTCACAGATAGAAAATTTAACTTTCTTCTATACCATCAACCAAAACGTCAAACAACAACAACACAAAGATCAATAAAACTATAGATGTATAAAATAGAATGAAGCATGTGAATTTGAGTGTGTGTGTGTGTGTGTGTGAATGTCAGTGTGCGAGTGAGTGTCTGTGTGAGTGAGTGTCTGTGTGTGTGAATGTCAGTGTGCGAGTGAGTGTCTGTGCGAGTGAGTGTCTGTGTGCGTGAGTGAGTGAGTGTGTGCGTGTGAGTGTTTGTGAGTGTGTCCGATAAATCATGATCAGGTTTGCTGAACGAATCCGAGGCATCAGTAACAACAGCAGCTGATACGCTGCGAGAGGCGGAGGGTGTGTCTCTGCTCGGGGCTCTTGCTCCGCGCAAATGTAGCTGCTGAGACGGACCTCCACCGGGGTCTCCGCTCTCTCCCCTCTCAACCTCACTCACTGATCCGCTAGTCAATCTCTGAAGCAGTGTATACTGCTTATAACTATTCTTTTTCGCCATCACTCTTGCTATACTATCGCTAAACTAGATCGCTAATCTGTCTCAATGCTACGCTATCATCGCTCTGCTACAGCAGCACGCTCTCCAACACTCCCACACTCCTCCTCTCCACTGACTTATGACCTCTCCTGTGGTGCAATACTGCATCCTACTGGTGGTGATTTATCATTACAGGTACATTTGCACTATATATCAGTGTTGTGGGTCATTAACAAGGTGCGCCAGACATTACTGCAGCCTCCCGTGTAATAACACGAAAAAGTCGTCTAAGTCGTCTTGGGCAGTGAGCGTCACTATACAATAGAACGACTTTTGTCGTCATGGGCAGTGAATGAGTTAATGTTCTGTGATAATTTATGATTTTAATGCTTTCTTGTTTTGTTCAGCACTTTGAATTGCCTTGTGTATGAATTGTGCTATATAAATAAACTTGCCTTGCCTTGCCCAAAACACCACGAGCCAAAGACCTCAGCAACTTCAGGCCGGTGGCTCTAACGTCCCACTGCATGAAGACACTGGAGAGACTGGTCCTGGGACATCTCCGCTCCACTCTGACCTCAGCAATGGACCTGCTGCAGTTTGCGAACTGGCCGGGCATCGGAGCTTTTGGAGTGCAGGGGCCACACTCCTACAGACCTTCTATGACTCTGTGGTGGCATCAGCCTCTTGTACGGTGTGGTCTGCTGGAGCAGCAGCATCACAGAAAGGGACAGGAAGAAGCTGGACAAGGTCATCAGGAAGTCTAGCTCTGTCTTGGGCAGGAAGGTCCTGGACAAACTAACTTCAATGCATTTTTTTTTTTTTAAGCATTTACATCATTTACTGCTAGTTAAGAAATGTAACGTACCAAACGGGAGAGGAATGAGAGACAGTGAGAGAGGCAAATTGTAGTTGGAGACTCCCAAAAAGTGAGGTCCCCATTTATTTAGAGGACCAAAACCCGCGAAACATAGGTCACTGTATTCGGGCACCAATCCAAACATGTCACATTCCGATCCTGGACATCAGCGTCCCCAAGCCACGTGCTCAGTCCGGTACTGGAACGTCTCCCCCGGCGGCAGCACTCCGTCACACAGGTGTTCTGTCGAGATTTGCACCCTTTGTTGAAATGTGCATCCCCACCCGCCGAAAGCAACTTTCCATAGCTTAGTCATTATGAATGTTTTCTTAATGAACATGATTTATTAGATTTAATAAAAGGTAGCATATTAGTTTATTGTACTGAATATGTCACGGGGCAACTTGACAGCGTGCGTGTGTGTGAGTGGTTGCGTGTTTGTGAATGACTGTGACCCGGCCCACTGGAATTGGGATATCAGGGACAGGTGTGCGTGATTGGGACAAGCAGGTGTGGAGAGTGGAGCAGCAGAGCAGGGTGCGGAGAACTGGACAAGCGGGAGGCAGCACTTAGGCACGACAGAGCAGCGCTGTGAGACGGACATCGAGTGGCCAGTGGCAGGACGCACCGTGGGAATCGCGGAGGGGGAGAGTGTAACGAACCCCCTCCTCCCAGCTAAGTACCCGTTTCGTTTTGCTGTGCAGGCAGGGCTACGTGTGGCCTTTTTGTGCTGTGTGTGTCTGTGTGCCAAAGCCTGACTGCGCAGTACTGAGGTATATTATTCCCGTCACTGACCTGGGAGATTGACGGCCGGTCTGCCCTCTGTCCCAGGCACTGCGACCAGCGTGGGAGAAGCTGAGGGGGAGAGTTCGCCATCCCCCTCCTCTCAGCTAAGTGTTGCCCATCTTCACTGAGAGCGTCTCTTAAAGAGAGCTGAGGAACGCTAAGGCTCCGGAGAACAGCTGTATTGACTGCTGCACTGTTTGATCCTCCATAGGCCTCCGGGACGTGCCATGCAGATGCTGCGCCCAGCATAGGAAGAAGCTGAGAGGACGCGCTGTGGAGAAGCGGAGGGGGAGAGTTCGCCATCCCCCTCCCCTCAGCTAAGTTTTATTTATTTTCACTGAGAGCGTCTTGTGGAGAGCCAAGCAACGCTCAGGCTCCTATAACCCGTTGTATTGACTGCCGCCCTGTTTGACCCTCCATAGGCCTCCGGGACGTGCCCTGGGACCGGACCACCACCACCCCAAGCTCCAACTTGGATCTGTATTGGACCATGCAGTTTTTAGAAGGATTCATCTTTGGATTTTTAGTGTAGCCTTTTAGTTGCATTTTAAACATATATTGTAATAAATTGTAAGAGGTCTGATACTCCTTCCATTTCAATATAATTGCTTGCACAGTGCTCCTTGAGATGTTTAAAGCTTGGGAAATCTTTTTGTATCCAAATCCGGCTTTAAACTTCTCCACAACAGTATCTCGGACCTGCCTGGTGTGTTCCTTTGTCTTCATGGTTCTCTCTGCGCTTTAAACAGAACCCTGAGACTATCAAAGAGCAGGTGCATTTATACGGAGACTTGATTACACACAGGTGCATTCTATTTATCATCATCAGTCATTTAGGACAACATTGGATCATTCAAAGATCCTCACTGAACTTCTGGACTGAGTTTGCTGCACTGAAAGTAAAGGGGCCGAATAATATTGCACGCCCTACTTTTCAGTTTTTTATTTGTTAAAAAAGTTTAAATTATCCAATAAATTTCGTTCCACTTCACGATTGTGTCCCACTTGTTGATTCATGACAAAAATTAAAATTGTATATCTTTATGTTTGAAGCCTTAAATGTGGCGAAATGTTGAAAGGTTCAAGGGGGCCAAATACTTTGGCACATAAGTGTGTGTCTGTGCCTTATATTGAGCTTTGTGGACACTCAGCTCTATATAAGGCACAGACACACACTTATGTGTGTTGCCAGACTCACTATTGTTTCAGCTGCTTCTTCAGTAGTTTTTTATCTGCAGTTTAGTTCAGAATAATAATGTCCCCACTCTGTCTCCTTCTTCATCACATGTCAGTTTGAATCTTACACTTGATGCAGCTTTAAAAGGAACCATAAGATTTTCCTTTCAGACAAAAACATGATGTATCCGAGTCTCCAGACACAAAGTAAAGATGTTCAAATCCACAATAAGTGTTTGGTCTGTAAAGCTCAACAGCTGCAGCACAGGGTTAAGACTGAAGTGAGATCCTGTAGAGTCTGACTCTGGGTTCACATGATGCAGCCTCAGCTCTGTCTCCTTCACTTTGTTCCAGATGCTGCGTCTTCACACCTGCTTCTCACAGGTTTTCATGTGTTTATGAAGAGATGACCTTTGTTTAAAATACTTTCCACACTTTTCACAGACAAATGGTTTCTCTCCAGTGTGGATCCTCCTATGCACTTTGAGATTAGACTTCTGAGTAAAACTCTGATCACAAACGTCACAGCTGAAGGGTTTTTCTCCAGTGTGGATTCTGCTGTGGCTCTTGAGACTTCCTCTTTCAGTAAAACATGTTCCACACTGATCACACTTGTACGGCTTCTCTCCAGTGTGGCTCCGATGGTGAACTGTGCGCTCTGCAGCAGTTCTAAAAGTTTTACTGCAGAGGTCACATGGAAATGGTTTTTCTCCAGTGTGAATTCTCTCATGTGTTTTGTAGTTTGAAAACTGCGTAAACTCCTTCCCGCAGTCTCCACAGACGAATGGCTTTTCTCCAGAGTGGATTCTGTAGTGCACAGTGAGGAGAGATAATTGTGTAAAAGTCTTCTCACACTGGTCACATTGGTGAGGTCTCTCTCCTGTGTGAACACGCTGATGTACTGAGAGCAGGTATTTTCTCCTAAATGTTTGTTCACACTGGTCACACTCAAACGGTTTCTCTCCTGTGTGGATCCTCTGATGATTTTTGAGAGTAACCTCATGTCTAAAACTCTGACCACAAAAGTCACAGCTGAAGGGTTTTTCTCCAGTGTGGATTCTGCTGTGGACTGTGAGTTTTCCTTTTGTAGTAAAACCTGTTCCACACAGATCACACACGTATGGTTTTTCTCCAGTGTGAGTTCTGTAGTGTCTCTTGAGGTGAGAAGGACGACTCCAGGTCTTTCCACACTGATCACAGGTGACCCCCATTCTGTAGGTGGACTTTGTAGATCTGCCACAAACGAAACAAAAACATGTCATGAATATATATGAATACAAATGTTTATTCAGCCCAAAATATGACCCCAGAGAGCACAGAGCAGAGAGCAGAGCAGAGCCTCTGGAGTAAAGCAGGACGAGTCGTGCTGTGAGAGGATAACATGGTCCTCTCGGTGTACGGCTTAAAGCTGCTGTACCTAACTTTTATAAATGGATGTTGCCTATCAGCTCTCACCCTGACTCCTTTCTTTTCTTTAAAAGAAATAGCTAAATATAACTTATTTCTAATAAGATAAAGATAGCCAGAGAATTTTGCTTTTGCACTACTCTTGTTGTTTGGACAAACGTAATATTTATGAAAGAAAAACATTAGGTACCTCAGCTTTAATCAAAGGAGCTTTGTCAGTGTGCCCTCTCTTATTTCCTCTGTTAAATATCAACAGACGTAGTTACGTTAAACTAATGTGACATCACTTTTGCCTCCTATGAGTCTTTCTCCTCCCGCAGGAAAATGTGAAAAAACCCATTTGCGCCTGCGTTACCAGCCCCATTCATTTAATAAGAGCATTCTGAAATCCACAGAAGCGTAACTTTGTTTAAACTTTTGAATGCACTGGAAAATGGCAGAAAGTCGAAGTAGCTCTGAAACAATCGTTTTGTCCTTTACAATTTTATTTGTCTTGCTTTTTTCTCCCTGAGATGTTGCTGCAGTACAGTGTTCATGATTTGGTCCAGACCAGTGTAAAAAAACCACTAGAGAAGATTCATAATCCGAACCAAGCAGAAACTCCACTTTGTGACCTGTCCTGCTCCACCCAGAGGCTACTCCACCTCTGCTGCTGTGACCTGAAGGGCTGGTGCTGATTATTACTATTGGTAGCTTTTCAGAATTATCAATTTGAATGAACGAAATTTGACCCAGTGACCGCACACCACTTTACAGATTCAATATTAGCTCTAGTAAATGGGGCTCAGGCCATGATATTATGCTGAGAAGCTTCTGCTATATTTTTCAAGAGTTTACTACTGAAAGTATGGGTTTTTTCCTCAATAGCTTGTTGGGAATTTGACCCAGTAACCCCAAAACACTATAATAATAGTACTACGTGTGGGCTATAGGGCTCAGGCTAGGGCTGGGCGATAAAACGATAATATATATTGCGATAGACACGTGTTCGATATCAATAGAAAACGGGGTCGATAGTTTCACTTCACTACGTTAGAAAACACAGGAAGAAAACACAGGAAGTAAAGCCGAGTCAGAAGCACGCGGCATAGGCTTCTCGACCTATCACAGCCGACCACAAACCTCAAAACATTCTGGGAAATGCAAAAACAAGAACCGCACCATCATGGATCTATGCTGCATATGCGGTGTTGGCAAAGCACCCCTTCCCCCCCTGACTCTCCGAACTCCTCCCAGTCCCGGGTTTTTGCCTCTGCAACAGCCCGGGCCACGGCACACTTGGCCCGTCGGTACTGAACAGGTGCTTCAGGAGTCCCACGAACCATCATGGCTCAATAGGACTCCTTCAGCCTGACGACATCCCTTACTGCCAGTGTCCACCACTGGGTTCGGGGGTTGCCGCCGGGACCAGCACCAGAGACCCTGCGACCACAGCTCTGAGCCGCCGTATCGGCAATAGAGGAAGAGAACATGAGTAAAACACTTGTAAAATACAGTAGCAATGTCTTAGCAGAAACTCAAGGCCTGAGCCCCATAGGCCACAGCTAATATTACATTTGTAAAGTGGTTTGGGGTCACTGGGTCAATTTTCTCAAAAGCTATTGAGTAAAAACATTTTACCAAAACAAATAATTTTTACATTACAATTAAATGGCCTATTCTCAAGACCATAATCATCCATTTCCATGTTGTTTAAGTATTTATTTATTTAAATCAATTAATGTATTTAATGTGTTGTTTAGCCATTGCACTATTTTTATATCCACTTAGCATAAAATGTTGACGTCCCTATATATATAGGCGAAAACTCATGCAAGTACATGTCCGCTCCGTCCATCGATTCCCCTCTCTGAATATCTTCCAAATATCAAACCAATTTCACCACGGTTGCCCCTCCATGGTCTGCACTCTCTTCTCCATCTCTGGCCACATTGTGCCCCACACTGCTCCCCTGCGGCTGCTCTCCCTCTCGCTTCTTCCCCGCTCTGTGGTAAATATACCACCACTGCGGCTGCTTCTACACGCAGTTTCTAGTTTATATTTTCATTTGTCACAGAGTTTGTGGCTCTTGTTCTAGTTTCAGTTTTGTCAGAAAGGGGAATTGAAACAATGCAGATATTTGTTTTCCGAGGCCAAAAGAGCCATAACAAAAAGCCGACCCCAGAGCCACAAGAAGCCTTTACTAGTGCAGACCCTCCTCAATCTTCACAGCGGATTTACACATTTAACAAAAATTCCTGGAGTCAGAATTCCTGGATTTAGGAGACAGTGGCAGAGCCAGAGGGGTAGCCAGGGTGGCCACTGCCACCTCTAAAAATACCCTTGCCACCCCCAGTGCCCCCCCTCGGAAGCCGGCAATGTAATAATGTGCATATCTTGAGAATCTTCCTCACTTTTTCCGCCGAAAGCTAAAAATTCCCACGGTTTCCACCGTCTGTGAACGCACCCCGACTCCGCGTTGAGAGGTCTTGAGCCGGTGCGGCGCTGTGTACTAGCGCTAGTGTTTTTATTGGTTGTTGGACTCACATGTGCCCAAGACAAGTCGTGATGAAAACAGAGCGTAAGTTAGCACCACAGGGCCGTTTACATTTGACATGAAGTATAGACATGCGTACTGCAGCGCATACTCGTTCAGTTTGTAGTACTTTTAGCGCGTGTATGTGTGTGTGCATGCGTGTGTATTCTCCATTATTAATTGCACATAGTAAATAAGTAATCTTTATTTATATCATCGCCCTCTTCCCTTTAGTGTAAACATGAAAAGAATAGGAAGAGACATTTGTTCTTTTTTTGTAAAGAAAACGCCTGTAGATCAGGAGGACTCCTCACCTGAAGGTCAGACTCGGAGGCAGTATGTTTAGAGAATGTTCATGATGAGGAATTTGTTGTGTTGTATTAAAATATAGCTTATATAATTCCGTTTCAGAGGA